TATATACGCATGCGTATATGTATTTAAAAAAGGAACGAGCGAACGAGAGCGAGAGAACAAGAAAAAAAAAGAAATTCAAGCGACTGCTGTAATTCTTGCTGGGAAATCTATTTTTAAAATTTTTTGCTGAGCACTAGAGAGGACGTCTCGCTGAAAATTTCACCAAATGTTCAGTTTTTCACGCTCTTTCTAATGATGTAATTTTTATCAACTCTGCACGAGATCAAAAATTTCGAACCGGTTGATATGCAGATTTATTACCTTGATTATAATATTTTAACTGGATTAAATATAAAAAGAAATTGGAAATTCAATACGATTTCTCGCAAATAAAATTAATAAGAAATAAAGTTTTATTAAATTTCAAAAGCTTTTTCCAAATTTTTTTATTCATTTAGTTAATTATTATTTGTCTCTATGATAGTAGGTATGTATTTCTTTTATGGAGTTGTTATTGTTTGTTTTTTCCATCGATATTGCTACATTTCTTATGAAATAAATCTGGGGAAGCCATCTTTAAATCATAGTAAGAAAAAAGTAATTGTTCTTTCTCTGAAAAACAAGAAAGAAACTACGTACTGTTGCCGTGAGCCTATGAAATGAAAGTGGAGAAGTTGTTTTTAACCATTCTACATGACTTCAACACACAATAATGTAAAATAAAGCACTAAAAAACATAAAAAAAAGAAATCTTTTCTTTCTTGTTGTGTTGCAGTCGGGCATTCTAATTCAAACACATTTCTTTCCTGCAACTGTCGACAGCCCATAAGAGTTTACTTCACTTTTATTTACGCAGATTTTGATCAAACAATGTCTTCGAAACATTCAAAATTCAAAGGCTCTGATCTGAAGGAGGCATCAGCTGTACCAAGTGAATTTTATTTTGCATGTCGAAATAATGAAATTGATAAAGTTAAGGCTATGCTGCCAAAACTAAAGCTGAAAGAAATTGATCAAATAGAACCAAATGGTTCAACAGCTTTGCATGCTGCTGCTTACTATGGGCACAAAGAAATAGTCAAGATGCTTCTGTCGAAAGGTGCTAAACGTACGATAAAAAATAAACATGGTCTGACGCCGGCTGAGGAAGGAAAAGATGAAGGTATTAAAAAAATGTTACAGACTGCTGATGAATCTAAATCAAAAGCAGAAAGTTCTCCTAAGAATGAAAATAGTGCTGGATTTGAATGGATTTTCCTCAAAGGTGATCCTTCAGTCTATGCATCGTTCAATCGTGAAAGTTTATGGAAATGCAACTCAGATGAAGAATTCCAGCGTTTGTGTCGTGGCATTCGAGATAAATATATTCACGAAGATGGACCTCTGAATAGTTTGGACGGCATCGAAGAAGTTCGTAAATATATTGACAAAGCCATTAGTAAAAATGAACCAAAGTACGTCGCTCGGGCTTATACAGCGAACACTGGTTTCTACAATCGACTCAATAGAGATTTGTCTCAGTTACCTACTAAATGGTCGGGAGAGAAACAGGAACGGAATTTTGCATCGATATTGTTATTTCATCGTGTATTTAAGCCTTATGCATATCGAGGTGAAACACATCGCGGCATGACAATGTCTTTGGAAGATCTTAATCAGTATGTTGTCGATTCGGTGTTCATGAACAAGACATTCTTGAGTTCATCAACAAATCGATCAGAAGCTGAATGGTTTTCTGGTTTGAGTAAATCATCATCAGATATTCCGGTGATTTGCAAGTATACCATTAACAACATCAGTACAGCTTTAAAGATTGAAGAATTTTCAAAATTCAAAAAAGAACAAGAAGTTCTTATTCTGCCCTATGCCGTTTTTAAAGTAAAGAATGTTCAAAAATCAGAAGGAAAAAAAGGTCCCATGGTGGAAATTGATGTCGAAGAACAAGATCAGGATGACGATGATGATAACGAAGAAGACTTTGCAAACAATCAAGTAAAAATAATTAAGAAAGAGAAACACCAGAAAATAGTAACGCAAAAATGCATCACGGTACATAAAGTTGGATATGATGCTGGTTCAAACGATAATTTCGAAAAGATCTGGAAAAATGCAAAAGAAAAAGGGCAAATCGATTTATCTGACCTCGACGGTGTTATGAATGCCAACAGTGATGTTACTGCTTGGAAACAGAAGAAGGTGAGTGTGCACAACGATCTCAAACATGGTAAATTTGGAGGCAATGCCATAACTATTAAACATAAAGATTTAAATATGAACAGTGATGATGATGAAGAAAGTCCCAATATGATACATGCATCCAACCACCAGAGCTACACCGTAGTCAAAAAATTCAATGGAAAAGAGTCATTTGACATGAAAAAGATGTTAAAAGGTTTTGACTCTGACAATGATGATTAGAATGATAGAATTAACTATTGACTACACTGAAAAAAAATCCGTTGAATGATAAACTCTTAAAGGGTTTATGAAAATGCAACCTATGATATACCCTAATTGAGCGTTTATCAGGATGTGAGAAACCCTTTTATCTACCCATCAAAAGACTA